AGGGATAGTCCAATGAATCCGGAACCTATTGATCTTCATCCGATAACATTAGGTGTAAAGAGGCAACATTGTTTTGAAGATATCCTTAACGATGTTCCTGAATCTAAATCAGATTTAAAAAGGATTCGTACAGAAGACAATTACCCTGGCGGAAATGCCGTTATAAGTGCGGCAATTTCTAATAATTATGATGGAGCACTTAACACTTCTCTAAACAATGTCGCAGTTAAAAATGAAAAAGATTTTTCCGAATTTTTTATTAAAGAGGGAATAGAAAATGATTTGGCAGGAGCAAACTATTTTGACAAAAAGGAAAATAACCTTTTGGGTGATAAGAATAGCGGTGAGAGTGCGAACATCTCAGAAGCTATATGCCATGTAACAAATCCTGAGTTTGATAGCAGAAAAGCGCAGGATAATAACTGCGATCCAAGTTTTATATATTCATTTCCCACGTCAAATGTGATGTCGACTGGAAAAACTATGGATTCTATTTCTTACGAACAGCAGCCATCTTATAATATACCAGATGAACCTTCGACAATTAACAGTAATCTAAAACCTCCAAGAGAAAATGAAATATCATTACCAGAGGGGTATCGAATCGATAAAAGAGCAGATTCTAATCTTGGACTTTTAATGCAAGCTATAGTACTTTTAGAAAGAGGAGTATCTTCATTGCCCGATGATTAGTGTCGTGTTAAAAAGATTGTGTATTTTCTTTTGTAAAGTTTTGTTCTTTTTTTTTACTAAAATTTAATTTTTAAGTATACGTTTGTATAGACTTACTTGTTTTTGTGGATTAGTGAAAATAAAATTCACATGTTTATTTTGAATGTTGGTGAGTAAATTATTCAGGACTTTGCAAGTCTTAAATTATATAATAAAATAACAAATTTTATTAAAACAAAAATTTATACCAAATTTTTGACATACTTTAATATAGAATTTTATAAAAGATAGTTATATAAACAATAATAAAAAATTATCAAAAGAGAAAAGTACTTTATCAATCAGTTTTTTATTTATTTATAACGGGACTTAACATGTCAAGAATAATTAATTAGTATTGAAATTGAAAAAAGAAATCAATGATCTTTTGAAAAATGATTTTATGAAATAGTTGTCGAGATTAATATAATTAGAATATCTATAAGTTTTTATATTTAATATTAATATTTGTTGTGTATAATATTTAGATTTTTTGTTTTTTCATATAATCTTTAAGTTGTTTTTCAAAATAAAATACTGTATTATAATATTATTTTATTTAAAAAAAATTTTTTTTGAAACAAAGGCTCAGCCATATTTATTGACTTTGATAAAGTAATATACAAAATTAATTGCAAAGATTATAAAAGTTGTTATTATAATTTTATATCATTTATATTACTAAACTTCCTAAAACCCGAGTTTTTAATAGATTTACTAGATACCTTATTGTTTAAAAATATTTGATTAAATTAAATTTCTATTAGTATCTATCTAAAAAAACTAAAAACTTTTTATTTTGATCTTCAATTCTTTTTTATTCTTTTAAATTAACTTATTATTGACTTGATTAATAGTTCTTTGAAAAAAGATATATATCTTTTAAATAATTTTAATAATTATAACCTGTCATTAATATCAAGTGTATTCAAAGAAAGAATATAAATTTAGTAATTTTGTATTTTATATAAAGATGAAAAAAATTTTGAATTAAAATAAAAAAAACTTTAAAATAATTTTAAAATAAAAAAAATAATTATTTATTTTATAAATATAATGGATTTTTAATTTTTATTTTATTGAAAAAAATATTTATCTTTATAATTATAACACTATCAAAAAATAATACAAAAAAAAACTATAATTTATATGATATTTATATATTCATATATATAGTAAGTAATTTTATTATTTATAATAGATTTAGGATTTTTATATAGCTTAAGAAATGCATTAATATCATATATTACATATATTTTCATTTATATTTCTATTAATTATTATTATTATTTTTTTTTTTGTATACCTGTAGTCAAGCTAGATTGTGAATTTATTAATTAATTGAAAACATAAGTATATTTTTATTTGAGCAGCATGATACATACTACAGCTAAACTATTCTTCTAATCTAACTAACTCGTTGTAAGCTTAATAGTCTCTAAGTTTGACCTTGGGAATAATATTTTGCTCCACAGTGTCTTTGGGTAAATATATTTCTATTAATTATAAAATAACCAATTTAAATATTCCATTAATCAATTTATTCAAAATTTAATATAACAAAAAATTTAGAATCAACTTAAGATAAATGAAATCTTTTAAAAAAATTAAAAAAAAAGTCACTATCTATAATAGTGATATTGGTTTTTTAGGCTAATATAAAATTATTGATCCTAACTTTTTCTTGGACTTTGAAATCTTTATATTAAAAAGAAAAAAGATATTTTTTATTTAGTTTTTTTTTCTTAAAAAGATTTTTTGTTATTGATTTTTTAAGTAAAAGGTTTTTAAAAAGGAAAAATAAACAAAAGAAATAAAATAAGACTGTTACTAAAGATAGATTCTTAAAAGAAAAGGTAGGAACAAAAGTCAAAAGTTCCTTACTAAGAAACATTAAAGTATTTAAAATAATAACTATAAAAAAACTACTTACAATTGTTTTTCATTATTCAAATTATTAATTTATAGTATTCCCTAACTTTTGTTCTTATTAAAGTAAAGAGCTATAAATTTTATTTCTCAAAAAGGTATATAATTAATCTGTAAAATTTTATATGTTAAATACTTTAGAAACCTATTATTAACTATTGTTAAATAAGCAGGTGCTTTTAAATAAAGTTTTAAAGTTTTATTATTCTTAAAATATAAAGTTTTAGAAAAATATTTTCTTAAAAGTGATAATTAAAAATTTATAAAAAAATTATATATATAAATTATATTGATTTTTTTTTTTTTTTTTTTTTTTTTTTTTTTATCGCAAATGAGTATTAAATGCAGGTTTTTATTAGAAATTCAATTCATAAACAATATATTAATAGTCTTTACAAAATAGTAAGTTAACTA